ATGCTCTACCATGAGAAATTATAATTCAAAAAGTAAAGCAGAGGGGCTGGGGTTGTGGCTCAGCGGTAGAGTGCTCACCTAGCACATGCGAGGCCCTGGGTTCAATCCTCAGAACCACATAAAAATAAATAAATAAAGATATTGTGTCCAACTAAAAAAAATTTTAAAAAGTGAAGCAGAAATAAAAACTTTCTTAGAAAAATAAATATTGTGAGATTTTTTTGTAGACCTGCCTTGAAAGAAATGTTAATGAAAAGTTTTCAAAGACAAGCAAAATGATATATGTCAGAAATTCAGATCTACATAAAGAAAGGAAAAGTATTAGAGAATGAATAAATGAAACAGAATTAAAAACTTTTATTTTTCCTATTTCTAATTGATCTAACAGTAATAGTTTGTTCAAAACAATAACAGTAAAATTGTATTCAATTATAATTTAAATACATTATTTGTGTGCATATATTTGTGTATAAAAATAATTAGAACAATAGTGAAAGAGACAGAAGGGACTGATTAAGAATATTTTCTCTCTAGACTAGGAATGGAACCACCATATGACCAAGCTATACCACCCCTTGGTATTTACCCAAAAAAAACAAAGTCAACATACTATAACAATACATGCATAAACATGTTTATAACAGTGCAATTTACAATAGCCAAATTATGGAACCAGCCTAGGTGCCTATCAATGGATGAACAGATAAAGAAAATTTTGTATATATACCCAATGGAGATTTTTTATTTGTTCTTTTTAGTTATACATGACAGCACAATGGAGTTTTATGTGCCATAAAGAAGAACAGAAAAATATGCTATTTGCATGAAAATGAATGGAACTAGAGAGCATCATGTTAAGTGAAATAAGCCAGACAAAACATTGGAGTTTGTATGTATTATCTCATATGTGGAAGCAGAGAGGGAAAGAAAAGGTTAAAGATATTTTCAGGAAAAATAGAAAGGAGAATAGTAGAAGAATGGGATTGGGTGGAGGGAAGAGGGAAAAGAAAGGGGAGGTACTGGGCCATGAAATTGACAAAATTATGTTACATGTATATACTAATATATCACAATTAATCCTATTTTGTGTATTTATAATGAATCAATAAAAATATTTTGCTCTATAAGTTTCATATACCACCTGTGAAACAGTAGAGTGTTTTTTTAGAAGTGGACTTTAATTAATCGTAAGTGTATAATTCACTCTAGAGAAACCATTTAAAAAGTTAAAATAGAATTATAATTGGTATGCTAAGAAAAGAAAATAGAATATTGTAAGATGCATGATTATGACTACAAAAGGCAAAAAAGGTAGAAGACAAAAGTAGGAGCAAAGAACAGAGGCTTGATATTCTCCAGTTCCACCAATTTACCAGCAAATGCCATTATTTCATTCTTTTTTATGACTTAGTAAAACTTCATTGTAAATACATAGCACATTTTCTCTATCCATTCATCTGCTGACTGGTGCCAGGGCTGGTTCCATAACTTGACTTTTGTGAATTGTGCTTATATAAATATTGATGTACCTGTATTACTATATCATGCTGATTTTAATTTTTTTTTTTTTTGGATAAACACTGAGGAGTGGGATAACTGGGTCATATGGTAGTTCCATTCCTAGTTTTTGGAGGAATCTCCACACTGCTTTCTGAAGTGGTTGTGCTAAAATGTAGTCCCACCAACAATGTATGAGTACACCTTTATTCACATATTGTCATCAGCATTTATTATTATTTGTATTCCTCATAATTGCCATTCTGACTTGAGGGAGATGAAATCTCAATGTGGTTTTGATTTTCATTACCCTAATTGTTTTTTTTCACATATTTTTGGCCATTTATATTTCTTCTTTTGAATAGTTTAGATTAGTTATTTTGTCCTTTTATTATTTGGGTCATTATTATTTTTTGGTGTTAAGCTTTTGATGTTCTTTATATATTCTGCATATTTAATCTCTTATGTGGGGAATAAGTGGAAAAGATCTTCTCCCATTCTGTAGCCTCTCTCTTCATGCTCTTAATAATTTCATTTGCTGTGCAGAAGCTTTTGAATTTGATGCCATCCCACTTAGCTAGATGAAAATAAGGGGTGGGGGAGGAGGAGAGTGATTCCAGCAAAACAGAAATAGAACAGTGGAGTAGAGGAAGGGGATTGAGGAGGATGGAGGAGGGAATGGAAAAGGATGAACAGTAAAATGAATCTGACCAAATTTTCCTATATATGTATATGAATATACCACAGTAAACTTCACCTTTGTGTATTTACATAATGTACTAATTAACTATAAATAAATAAAAGAAAGATCATTAGAACAGAGAAAAAGGGAATGGGGGGGGAGGGAAAGTACTGGGTACTGAATTTGAGCAAATGATTTCCCATGTTTTTATACTTATGCCAAAATGAACTTTAGGCAGAAAAAAGAACAAAAATATTAAACAATAACAAATATAATAGATGTTAATTTAATGATATCAAATATTATTTAAATATCAATGGTCTAAATATACCAAATAAAAGAAAGAGTTTGGACAAATGGAGAAAAAAATAAGACCCAATTGTATATTGACAATAAAAACAATTACCTTAAAAACAAAAATACAGGGCTGGGAATGTGGCTTATTGATATAATACTCTTGCCTAGCATGAACAAGGTTCAAAATAATACATAAATAAATATACATATATAGATTAAAAGCAAATGGATGGAGAAATATATATTGTGTCAACCAAAAGAAAGCAAGAGTGTCTATATTAATTTCAGAAAAATGAAGACACTAGATCAAGAGAATTTATCATGTATAATAGGGAACATTACATAATGATAAGGGGTCAGTATTCCAAGGAGACATACCAGTTCTTAATGTGTATGCTCCTAACAACAGAGCATCAAAATAAACATGTCAAAAACTGAATTGCAAGGAGCAATAGATGAATCCACTATTGTAGCTGAAGGTCTTAACACCCTTTCATCCAACAGGCATAAAATCAGTAAGGACATAGTTGAACTCAACAGCACCATCAATCAACTAAATAGAATAGACATCTTCAGGTTTCTTCACCCAGGAATAGCAGATTACTCATTCTTATCATGTCAAATGGAACAGTTACTGAGATAGACCATATTCTGGAACTTAAAACATACTTAAACAATTTAAAAGACTATAACTAATATAATGTAGGCTCTTACACCACAATGAAATTAAAATGGAAATCAATAGCAGAAAAATACATGGAAAAATCATCACAAAATACATGCAATTAAACAACACTTCTGAATAACAGAATGGTCAAAGAAGGATTCTCAAGAGAAATTCAGAAATATTTTGAATAAAATGAACATGAAAATAAATCATGATATTTGTAAGATGCAATAAAAATAATATTTAAAAGGAAATTCATAGCACTGAATGAATATATTAGAAAATAAGAGCTAAAAACTGTTCCATCTTCCATCTCTCTAAACTTTAACTTTGAAAACCATAAAATAAGAGCAAGTTAAATCAAAAGCATACAGAGGAAAATAAATAATAAATATTAGAACCGAAATCAATGAAATGATAGAATAAATCAGTAGAGAGAATCAAGCAAGTTCATATCTGATTCTTTGAAAAGAGCAATACAATGTTAATCCAGAAAATTGTAAGAAAGAAGTGAGGGGATACTTCATTTTATGATTTAATGTTTGCATCACACTAAAATTTATATGTTGAAGCTTAATTCTAGTGTCAGGTATTTGGAGGTAGCAGCTTCCTCAAGTAAGTAGGTCATGAAGAAGGATCCCTCATGAATGAGATTTGTGACCTTTAAAAAAAGAAAAAAGAGGAATTATCTCTCTCTCTCTCTTACAATTGTGTGGATAAAGTAAGAGGGGGCTTTCAACAAGTCAAGATTCAGGCTGTCACCAGAAATCAATCATGTTGGAACTCTGATCTTGTATTTCCATCTACATAAAATTGAGAAATACATTTCTATTGTTTAAGGTACTCTTTCTATGATATTTTTCTTTTATCAATCCAAACCTCTTAACTCTTCTAATTCATTCTGAGGTGACAGTTATCCTAAGACCAAAAGCACAAAAAAATATTACAGAATGAGAAGACCACAGACTAATATATCTCATGGACTTAGTTGCAAAAAAATCTTCAATGAAATAAGAGCAAATGGAGGGAGGGCTGGGGTTGTGGCTCAGTGGTAAAGTGCTCGCCTAGCACATGTGAGGCCCTGGGTTTCATCTTCAGTACCACATAGAATAAATAAAATAAAGGCATTGTGTCTAGCTACAAATAAAAAATAAATATTAAAAAATATAAAAATAAAAAATAGGAGCAAATCAAATTCAATAATTTATAAAAATAATTATATATCATGACCAAGTGGGATTTACCTCAAGTGTGCAAGACTGGCTCAGCATTCAAAAGTAATTAATGTAGCTCATTCCATCAACAAGATAGAGAAAAATCACATATATTAATGATAATGACACTCAGAAAACTGTGAATAGTGGGAGAGCTTCCTCTACTTCATAAAGAACATCTACAGAAAACCTACAGTCAACATACTGCTTAATAGTGAGAAAGTTGAAATTTCTAGCCATGATCAGGAATATGATAAGGACATCCTCTCTCCCCACTGATCTTCATCATTGTATTGAAAGTTCTAACAATTACAGTAGGACAAGAAAGGAAAATAAAAGCTATACATATTAGGAAGAAAGAAATGAAACTATGTTTGCAGGTGACATGATTATCTATGTGGAAAATACAAAAGAATTACAAAATCTCTGGAATTAGTAATTAATTATAGACTAAAAGCCAAAATGGCTGCCCCAAGGAAGCCCGGACCGCATAGCTAGTGAGGGTTGGGGAACAAGCTTCAGGGGAAAAGGGGGAGGGTGGACTCTAGGAAGACCCATCGCAGGACCATCATCCCCCAAGCCACACAGGTTCCAATGACAGCCATCCCTTGCTATAACTTTTAAACTGTATTTGGAATAACACTGGCCAGGAAAAAAATATATAAAATTTTTCCTTATGGTGAATAAACAAGGCCAGACCCGACTTTCTAAGTACTATGAGCATGTGGAGATTAATAAGCCTACACTTCTGGAAACAGAAGTCATAAAGATCTGTCTCTCTCTATCCAATGAACAATATTCTTTCATTGAATATAAGGATTTTAAGCTGATATATAGGCAATACGCAGCTCTCTTCATTGTGGTTGGAGTTAATGACACTGAGAATGAGATGGCTATTTATGAATTCATCCACAATTTTGTGGAAGTTTTAGAAGAGTACTTCAGCTGAGTGAGTGAACTTGATATAATGTTTAATTTGGAAAAAGTACACATAATTTTGGATGCGATGGTGTTAAATGGCTGCATTGTGGAAACTAATAGGGCAAGAATTCTTGCCCCTCTACAAATTCTTGATAAGATGTCAGAAAGCTGAATAGAAGGCTCTGCCAGATAGCATCAATTCATAGGAAATGTGAAGACCATTTGAAAAGAATCTGGAAGACTACCTATTATGAAATGGGGTACCCTTCCAAACAATATAAATAGGTATTTTCCACAGTTCCTAAATGGAAAATAAAGTTTTTAAAAATATGTACAAAGAAAAATCCTCTCTTAACTGAAGAAAGTTCTATTTTCAGTAACTATAAGCATATTTTTTCCCACTTCTTCAAATTTTGTTGAATACCTAAGAAATCCTCTTTGGTCTCTGCTTCCTTTTGCAAATTAAATTCAGGAATAGTAGGATGGTGGTAAGAAGAATGTGTGACAGTTGTCTATTAGCCAATAAAATTTCTAAGTTGACTTAAAAAAATTGATTATAGCATGGTTGCAGGATATAAGGATAATATACATAATCAAATCACTTTCCTACATACTGACAAGGAACAAATGCAATGTGTAATAAAAAATACATTACCATTTACATTAGCATCCCCCCAAATAGAATACTTAATTTTATATATATATATATATATATATATATATATATATATATATCTCCACAAGGAAATCTATACAACTAGGATAAAAAATATGAAAGCAGTAGTTAAATGAGACATGCTTTATGTACATAAATAGAAAGACTCATTGTTGCAAAATCCACTCTTCTGAACTTGATCTGTTGAGTCAATGCAGTCAAATCAGAATCCTAGCAAGGTATTTTGTGGTTATCAGCAAACTGATTCTAAAGTTCATATGGAATGGGTTTGCCTAGATTAGCTAACAAAACATTGATGTAGAAAAGCAAATTGGGAAGGGGCACTATCCAACTTCAATATTGAAAAACTGCAATAATCAAATAGTGTAGCATCAATGTAGACAGACCAATGGAGCAGAATAGAGAACCCAGAAACAGACTTACATAAATATACTCGATTAATCTTCAACAAAGGAAGACCAGCAATATGATGGAGCAAAGGTACTTTTATTTCTAAATGGTGCTGGAACAAATGGACATCTACATGCAAAACAATTGACCTAGACATAGAACTTAAACAAAAAATTACTCAAAATGAATGATACAACTAAATGTAAAACACAAAACTATAAAACTCCTTTAACATCCGAAGAAACCTAGTTGGCCAGAGGTATATCGATAACTTTTCAGATGTAACACAAAAAGCAAAACCATGAAAGAAATAATTGATAAGCTGGAATTCATTAAAATTTAAAATTTCTCCTCTGTTAAAGGTGTTATCAAGAGAATAAGAAAACAAACTGTAGACTTAGAGAAAATATTTGCAAAACACACATCTGATAAATGACTATCTTGCAAAATATGCAAAGAACTCTGAAAATGTGATGAACAAATAACCTAATTGAAAAATAAGGAAAATTCCTGAATAGACATCACAAAGATTTACAGATGGTAAATAAACATATGAAAAGATGCTCAATATCATATGTCATTAGGGAGTTGAAAATTAAAATGAGACATGACCATATACCTATTAAAATAACCAAAATCCAAAATAATGATAACACCAAATGTTGGTGAGAACCTGGTATGATAGGAAACCTCATTCATTTCTGCTGGAGATACAAAATGATACATCCACTTCAGATGACAGCTTGACAGTTTGTTACAAACTAAAACTTGTTTATCATATGATCCAGCTATCATTCTTCTTGGTGTTTACTCAAAGAAATTGAATATTTGTACCCACACAAAAACCTGCACATATAGAAGCTTTTATATGTAACTGCCTAAATATGGAAGCAATTCAGATGTTCTTCCATAAATTACAGAATAATTAGATTATGGTATACTAAGACAATGAAATAACATGGAACGCTAAAATAGTTATCAAACCATGAAAAGACTTTAAGGAATCTTAAATGCACATAATTACTTGAAATAAGCTATGTTAATCAGTTTTTCATCACTGTGACTAAAACACCTGACAAGAAAAACTTGGAGGAAGCAAAGTTTCTTCTGTGCTCACAGTGTCAGAGGTTCAATCCATGGTCAGCTAACTCCATTGCCTGGTGTAAGGTAGAAATCATGTTTGAAGAGTTTGGCAGAGGAAATCTTCTCAGCTCATGGCAACCAGGAAGCAGAGAGAGACCTACTCCCTCAGTCGCACCTGACCTGCCTAAAGTTACCACCCAGTTATTCATTCAAATTATTAATCCATTAAATGGATTAATTCATTGATGAGGTTACAGGTGTCATAATCAAACCTGTTCACCATCAAATATTGCTACATTGTCTAACAAATGAGTTTTGGGGGAACATTAAAGATCCAAACCATAATACAGGCTAATCTGAAAAGACTATACACTACATGATTTTAACTACATGATATTCTAGAAAAGGCAAAACTATGGAGAGAGTGAAAAGACCCGTGGTTGTCAGGAGGTATGGAGAAAGGTAATATGAATAGGAAAATCATATTTTAGAGTAGTAAAATTATCCTGTATGATAGCATAATGGTGAATATAGGACTTATACATTTGTACAAACTCATAGAATTTACAGTACCAAGAATGAACCTTAATGTAAACTATGGACAATGGTTGATAATAATGTCTCAAGTTGGCTTCATCCATTGTAATCAAAGTACCACTGTGGTGCCATATGTTGATAGTATATATTGGGCCTGTGTGGAGACAGGATGTATATGGGAATTTTCTATTCTTTTTGATCAGTTTTTCTATTATTCTAAAATGAATCAAAAGCAGTTTATTAATTTTTTTAAAAGACTATATGAGAAGAAATAACACATAAAAGTAAATATTTCTGAGGCATTGCCCCCCTGTGATTATAAATAAATAGTGTTTCAACTACCTTTCTACAAATGTGCATGAATAGTTATTCACTTTTAAAGTCAATATTAGTAAGAATTAACTTTATGGACATAATAGAAGAAATGTGATATATTTTGATAAAATGTTCTTATTGTATTGTGTTGTAATCTGTAAAGAATGACACACACATTTTTAAAAAGAACATTAACATCCAGATCACACACACATAGGAAAATGTGATGTGAAAGAAAATAAACACAACCAATACATAGTACAAAAAAACCCACAAAAATACTGATATTGAATTAATTGACAGTTATAAAAGAACTATATATTTATAAAATAAATCAAATATAAGCCAAAAATATGTATGCCAAAAAAGGGATATTAAAAGCTGATGGAGCATTTTTGAATACTAAGATGATATTCCAAAATTACAAAATATAATAAGTGAAATAAAAAGACAATGCATGATTTTTAACTACAAATAGAACTGAAGAGAGATTCAATTGTTAAAAATTATCTGTAATTGAGTTAAAAAGTGAAAAAAAGAAGAGAAATATAGAAAAAAGAGTGAGTTCCAGTCAGAAGGTTTAATTTGTATTTAGTAGGGGTCCCAAAATGAGAGGAGAGAAATAGTGGATTATTGACTTTTAGGACATAATTGCAAATATCTAAAATATATGAAAAACACTAAGGTATAGCAAAATATTTGCATGTCCACTCACATCAATACTTACATTTATTTATTTATTACAGGATCAAGTAAAATGTTCAACAAATCTCCATCAAAAGTAGGAAGCTGGCCTGGGAATATAGCTCAGTTGGTAGAGTGCTTACCTTGCATGCACAAGGCCCTGGGTTCAATCACCAGCAACAACAACAACAACAATAAAAACAACAAAAGAAAAGTAGGATACCTTAGCAAGGACTGGGCTGGACCTTGCAAACCAGTAGAAATTCAGAAACTGGGAGCATTTCACTCAGGGTGAAACACATGTTAGAGTCCTGCTGCTTGCATGGACTGACAGAGCCAGCTATAACAGGTTGAGAGGCTGGAGGGGTAAGTATGAGGGGGGCATTTGGCTCTCAGCTTGACCATCTGGCTGGCCCAGTACCCACGAGTTGCCAGGAATAACTGGGCCAGCACTTGCTGGCTCCTGGTTCCCTCCCCAGTACCTGCCAGGTCTGGCATCATCTAGCACCCGCCAGGGATTAGCAGCCCCCTTACCCCCAATCTCCCAACCCACTTGTCAGCAATCCAGTTCACCACTCAGCCTACTAGGCCTGCAGTTTTACCACCTACCCACAACCCAGCTTGCCCCACACACCCCTTTGCCACCAGACCCACGAGGTGACCACAAAGCTTCAATGCTGACCCATGGGAACCAGTGAAAAATTCTGATCCACGTGCCCCAAGCCAGCCAGTTCCCCTATACATGATCAGCAGCTTCACTGCCACTCATAACCCAGCTTGCCCACTCTGCCACCTCCTTGCCAGGCCTGCCTGACCCAGGCAGCTGCTTCACACCTGGCCCACCCACGCTAACCTCCCAAGAAGGGAAATTGGGAAGTCTTAAACCTCAACCTTCAATTTGGAGCAACATAATATAAAAGAAGGACTTGAAAACCTGCAGCCCATACTCCCACACTTAGTTCAAGTAGAAAGGAAAGGAAAATCATTTGGGCACAGACAGTGAACACATATACTCACTGTTTTGTCCACCTTAGTGGAAATGACTCCTTAATTTCTTAACATTTCACCAAGATTTTTGTTGTTGTTGTTCTGGTTTGCTTTGGGTTTTCTGTATTGGGTTTTATTTGAATGTGTACTTATTGAATCAAGGACTCCTATAAATATACATATCTGTTTCTCTCTTCTCATTTCTACAATTCTCTCTCTCTCTCTCTCTCTCTCTCTCTCTCTCTCTCTCTCTCTCTCTCTCTCTCTTTCTCTTTGTCTTTCAGGAGCTATTGCTTTTCCATACCCTGTATATTGAGGGTTAGGGTTTTTGACTAGCATACTTTGATTTTGTTTTGTATAGTCATTGCCACTGCTCTATCTCATTTGTCTCCCTCTCTCCTTTTTCTATTGCTGACACCCAAATTCCATTCTCTCTCTTCCTTTATAATTTCCCATTTTCTCTTCCCATTTCACATTAACAACTTATCCTAAGTTATCACTGCATCTTCTCTATTCACCCTTTGAAATTGCAAACAGTTTTCTACCCTCTTAGGTCTTCTTCTTTCCACATGTTCTACTCTATCCTTAACACCTATTAGTACTAGTTGAGGTATATAATGTCTGCTCCTACAACCATTTTCGCAGCAATG